CAAAACGTCTAGTCACTCACTGTGCAACGAACGCTCCCATTTCAGTACTTTGGTACCTCTAATATTTCTCACTCTCGTTATTGACATTGATTGTCAAGATTTACTGTGTCCACTATGCCCAATACACGGTCTGTTATTTAACAACCCTCATCAAAACCCGCGGGAAACTAATAAACGTCATGTATAATTATTGCAGCTAAAATAGAGTTCCCGCCTCTTTTAGTAAGCGCGGTGAAATATTACCGTCTCTGTTATGTAATTATTTATCACAGATAAATTAAGTCGTGTCTCTGTTATTGATCCACTTGCATGTATATCTGTCTATCTAGCCGTTGTGCTTATATTCCCTGCATATTCTAACCAATAGACAATGCATTTGATTTGCGTTTTATCTGAGTAGGTAATATTTTATTGTGCTCTGTTATTTACTTAAACCGAGTTTTGTTGCCGTCCGTGGCTAAGGGATTCTACACTTAATCTTATACTTCTAAAATAAAAGAAATTTCCGCTCAATCCGGACTTCGGGTTACTTTGTAACAATCGGAAGTGCTGTTGAATAACATTGCGGTTTTGCTTGGCTTGCTTTGCGAAGAAAAGAAAAAAAGAAAAGAATTCGTAACTTTCAACCAGCATTCCCGAAGGGGCAGCTTTAGGTTATAATTGTGACTAGGTTGTGTGTGCCATCAAAAACGACTCAGCATTTCTCGCCACCAAGTTGCTCTGAAAATGACACTGGCAGTGTTGATGCGATCAAAGGAGACGGACCCAAATACTGTCCCGACCGGCGATGAAGTCCTCCAGCATCCATCCAGGGAGCGACCTCGTGAACTATGAACTTAGCGGTTAAACGTGGCTTATCGAGATTTGTGCATGTAGGAATCTCGTACTTCAGGGGCTGATTTACAAACTGAAGTCCTGCAGCCATGAATCACCTACAGATGTAGGACATATCTACTTCGAATAACTGCAGGCGATTTGATCGGAAGCCGGTTTGCGTTGAATTCACATTGATATGAGAGTCGGCCTTGCAGTGACAATCGTTTAACATTAAATCCTCATTAACACATATTCAAAAAGACCAAAAAAAGCAAGAGTTCGTTTAAAAAAATATAATCAGTGCTAAGCAGGAACTATAATCCGTTCAACAAGTCGTGCCCAACTGTAAAAATATGTAACTTAGTAACTGTTCGGCATGAGTTGTTGAAGTTTGCATGTAAGCTGTTAATAATCATGAAAGGTTCAAAGCAAATAGTCAACATGCTTACAGTTAACTGAGTACAGAGAACTTTTCCAAACATTACATTGAACGCGTATCATCATGCCCGGCTCTTTAGCATAGTTGGCTAAACCGGACTGCGCGGTGACTGGGTGACGAACTCCTTGTGGTCCAGGTTCACTTCCGGGGGCAGGCAGAAAAGCCACATTTCTCCCAGATTTACGGTATTTACAATGGAATCAAGGCCGAAGGGTTGCGATGTCCATAATACCGAGCCTAAGGGCTAACAACTCATGGCCTCTGAATACTAAAAAAGAAAAAAAAAAGCGCATATCATAGGCATCTTACTCTCAGGTAGTCATCTCAAGCATTAGTCTCCCTTGAGTTGTCGATTTCTCATTGTATGGACTGAATTTTTCGTGGTAAATACGATAACCTACATTTTGCAGGCCCTCATTTTAAAGAAAGGTATACACAAACATACCATAGAGTGGCATGCAATCAACGGAAGAATTATGACAGCACGATTCAATGGGAAACATGCCTAACTTACAATCATCCAATGCTACGCACCGACTAATGAAAATGAAGACAAAGTTAAGAAACATTCCTTAGGAGATTGTAGGAGGTAGTAGATGAAGCACCAGTCTGTAAAATTCTAAGCATCATGGGAGATTTCAATGCAAACGTTTTGTAAAAAACTTGAATAGAGAACTGTCTTTGGGAAATCAAGGGTGTGGTACAATTAATGACAACGGAAAAAGACTGCACTACTTCTGAAAGGACTTGTTATAGGAGAAACACTGTTTCCTCACAAGAACATACCCAAGCTTACATCGATATATCCCCATGGAAGAGATGTGAACCAGATAGACCATTTCATTGTGAATAGAAAATGGCGTGAGTTCCAAATGGATGTGGGTGTCAAAAGGGGAGCACCACCTGATACTTGCGCTAATACGACTGACACTCAAGAAAGCAATACACAAGCTAAGATACACAGCACGCTGCAATGTCAACCTATTAGGAGAAAAAGACAACGCGACGAAATTTGTAGTGAGTTTTAAGGTTTGAACAACCGATCAACTTAATGGCACACGGTTAGTAACCAATAAGTGCTTCGTTCTTCTTCCAGCTAAAGTCTGAGTACTAAGAAGCTTAGCAGAGTGCACAGGCTCTGTAGCACCGACGAGGATACTGAAAAACTTTGGGTAGATTTTCAACTGCAAAATTTTGCCCGGGTGGCGCCTTTAGGCTACTCTTTACGATTTACAACTTCAATGGTTTTTTTTTTTTACATACACAACAATGCACACGGGCGTCCAGTCTGACTACCCAGAGGCCAGAGGGGATTACTAGAAGTCCAAGTTCACGTGAAAAAATCCCAGCCCTTACCGGTTTGAATCCGGAACCTCTTGCACTCGAGGCGGACACCATGTCACAAGACCACTTGACAATTTAGAATAGTACACTTGTCTTGGCAGTGTGGTGTCCCTAATGGGAGGGACAGAGGAAGACATACAATCAGTACTGAAAATGCTGGAGCCGTTTTTGTAAGGATGAGGCAAATCTGGAAATCTTACAGTCACTTCAGAGGAACAATACTCCGACTGTAGAAGAGAATCATTTTACCAGTTCTTCTTTATGAAACAGAATGCTGGAGAATGACCAAAAAGGATGCACACAAGCTATCCGCCGTTAACCACGCATGACTAAGTAGAATTATTAACATTTTCTTGCCAGATACAATCCTAAACACTTAAATACTTCAAGTTACAAACCAATAAACAGACAGTATGATAACCAAAAGATGATGGAAATGGCTTGGCCACATAATGAGAACTAATCGTGATATACCTGCCAAACTGCTCTCACAGACATCAGAGTGAAAAAGAAAGAAGACGCGCACAAAAACAACATTTAGACGAACGATAGAAAGTGAACTGAGTGCTGCATCTCTGACATGGAAAACTGCACTAAAGATCGCACAGGACAGGAAGGTATGGAAAGGTCTCTCTGAAGCCTCATGTGCCACCAGGCATAAAGATTACTGATGATCGAAAGCTCCTGTGCATTGTACCTGCTCATTCTCAAACATTTATGGCAACAGTGTCCCTGTAACCTGAGGCGGAAAGGGGTTGGTTATAGTGACGGATGCTTGCACAGTATTACAAGCCACAAAAAACTATAACCGACTACCGTTTAATAATCTCAGATATCTATAAAATTCAGTGGGTCAGCTAACGAAGCATGCTGTGCCCCAGTGGATTCCAAGCATTTGGGAAATGATAGAGGACATCACATAGTGACAATGTACTCGTAGCCATACAGTTTCCGGAAAACGAAGCAGAGGCAGCCCTCCACGGAAGTGAATACAAGACATTAAAAATGTATTGCCTATGAATTCATAAAGGACCGGAGAACTAGCAAGAGGAAGAGAGTCTTTCAGGCATCCAGTGACTACGGTGACGTTCTATAAAAAATTGTTTTCAGAAACCTGCTGATTGATCAGATGATAATTTGCACTCTTATCTTTTATTAGTGTCCTTTAGCCCGGCTCTCTAGCGAAGTTGGTTAAACCTGACTTTCGCGGCGGCCGGGTGACGAACTCCTTGTGGTCCGGGTTCACTCCCGGGGGTAGGCAGAAAAGCAACATTTCTCCCAGATTAACGGTACCTATAATGGAATCAATGCCGAAGAGTTGCGATATCCATAGTACCGAGCCAAAGGGTTTACAACTCACGGCTTCTGGATACGTTAAAAAAAAAAAAATGGGTGTCCGTTATGGTCGTGTTGTGGACGCAATATTTCGATTGTAATTTTAACATTAAAAAAAAAAAACACACACACAATAAAATATTTTTTTTTTATTTAGGATAACAGTGCGGCATATACCACGATTTCTCCTAACATTTTTATCAGAGAGATGTTGTTTAGTCTGTGTAATGCATTGCGATGATTCCATGGATCTACCGTTACTGAAGACTCATGGTACATATTTAGCGATTGTGTTGTGTTTCTGCTTTATCGGTTTCACTGTAGGAATATAGGTTAGTTGCGTATCCTTTACAGGACGTTGCAGAACCAACCCCAACAGCTCCTGGCTGTTGTGTGGGTTTTCTATACAAAATTACGTCCAGTAGTTTGCCATTGCTTTCTGGACGGTTGGCTTTTTTGATACCACTGTCGAAACCAACGCAAGGCGCATGGCCTGCAGTTGGAATCGAACCCGGCATCCCGGTATTACGAAGCGTTCGCACCGACTTAGCCACAGAGCCGACCTGTAGGAATATACAGACATAGAAAAACGAAAAGAAACAACTTGTTCGTACGGAAATCAGTTTATGTATTAACAGTTGCGTGCTAATATGTGATTCTTTTCACAAGATTTTATTAAGTTCTGTGGTTTTTGTTTGTTTGTTTGTTTGTTTGTCTGATAAAAATTGTGTGTCCGATTCTTTTCGTTGATTATAACAATTTTAAATTGAAACGTATGGTAATTGTTTTTCATTCAGAATACCAGTATGTTAAGAAACAGTATCCAGTAGGTTTTAAGTTTATTAGAGAACTTGTATGTGATCTGAAGCATACTGTAACGTGTTTCTGCGGATTTAACACGCGGGTGGTTTCAGGGTGCATCTCCAACGGTTATGCACATGACTGACTCTTTTCATTGTGGGGATATACAGACATGGTGTAACTTGAAACTATCGCATGAACGTAGTGTGGGTAACACTCGGTGTTGGTTGCACTCGGTGTCCTATTTTCTCATGTGTGTCCCGCAATGGGCTGCCTCAACACCAAAGCTGGAAATGTCAAGCCAAAGGCAGCGCCTGATTCCAACGGAAAGATCGATCCCAACTGTAACGGACAGTTCTCTAATATTGCTCAGCCTCACAACGAGGCGCTGGGGCTTTCACAGAGGCAGGTGTTCTCAATGAAGCAATCCTGGAAGGGGATCAAGAGGAGAATGGAGGAGACAGGAGTGGAGATGTTTGTCAGGTAAGGCTTTGAAAGTGGTAGGGGAGAATGTTTGTATACTCGTGTTTTATGCAATAGATGTATTGCTTAAACACATCTTTATTAGCTAACAGGTATGCTTTGAGTTCCTAATGATCTTTCGGACATGAATTCATGAAGTTTTCATGAATAACAGCATGACAATACAGCATGACAGCTCTCTCTCTCTCTCTCTCTCTCTCTCTCTCTCTCTCTCTCTCTCTCTCTCTCTCTCTCTCTCTCTCTCTCTGTCACTCTCTCTCTCCCACACACACACACACACACACACACACACACACATTAATTAACATAAATTGATAATATAGTTAACTAAATTTTAGAGATCCTAACAAGAACTCAGCTTCTAGTAAAAAGAACTTTTTAGGTGTATTGGGCATATAGAGCTAGAACTATATTTCATACACCAATCGGCACACGGTGAGTGATGTCATTAACACCACTCCGACCACCTTTACTTCCCATGACTTTACCTAGTATTCACTCAAACCTGTGTCGACCTAGGAGCTAAGGTCATTTTTGAAAATACTTCGGCTCCGTTAGGATCTGAATCCGCGACTATCTGATCCGCAGGGGCGGGTCTAGCTACTACCCCACAGTGGCTCCTGAAATTCTAGCAAATAAGAGGAGTAGGTTAAAACTATAGTGAAAAGGTAAACTGATGCCAGTATGGGTGAGTTTCTAAGCCAGTAGATGTAGTTTAGGATTTCTGAAGAACTTAGTGCTTGACACCAACGAGTGTTAAGTGTCAGCCAGATGCCCTGATCACACCCTTCTGCACTATTTTGTTGAGATTGCTATCTACCTATACAAGCTGTAAAAGTACTGTGGTCTAGTGGCTAGGATACGGTGTACACAGCAAGAGTCTGCACCGTCGAGGTAGACGCAAGAGGGCTGATCTCCGCCTCCAGATACAATGTACTGAATCAGCTGGGCTTACGAAGAAATTAGCGTAAATGGGCACAAAAAGAATTGGGCGAAGCGTCTGAAAGTGTTTCTAGCTGGCTGTGGACGCAACAGAATGTCGTGGGGGATGGGCCTCGGTAGACCGGTTCGAGCTGCTAGTGGAAAGAGCTTCTCATTCCTAAAAGCTAAATTGACCGATAAATGTCTGCCATTGTCTCTCTGCCAATTGCCAAAGTCTAACATCTGTTTGATGAATTAACCGTAAGCTTGTTACTCTGATCGTAAAGGCTGTCGGCTAATTTGCTACGGCACTGACAATATATAACACATTATCTCACAATACCAGTGGCAAAGTGACCATTTTGTCTTTTCACTGTCCGAACGTCCAATAAAGTGCAGCAGGGGATCAGGTCGGCCCACCTTCCGAGATTGTCTAGAAAGATGATGGACGGAACAATCGTCGACGTAGGACCTTTCTATGGTGGGTTCCTGCTGGGCATGCTTCCCTGTGGGGTTCTTCCTAACATTGCTTACCCACCAACCTGCAAAAATCCTCTAGCGGCTCGCCGAAAATGTCCGCCCAGTGACACAGCGACAATAGGATTTGGGCACTGCATTGTTGCTTAGTGACTGAGACGCTGTGCGCGACAATCTTATAGTACCGATTGAACAAGCGAAGTACCCTACTACCGAATGCCATCTGTGGGTCAGTTCTCTGCCTGCTTTCTTGTGTTCTCTGCACCATTTCGTAATTTTCATTTTTTTTTTCAAAGCTTCGACATAATTTTTCTAGCCCCCCGCCTCCATCCTAGGGCATAGAAAGGTCGAAGAACGCCGGATGAGACTATATTATCCATGTTAACCAGAGTTCTCAATGATGTTCTACAGCTTGACGCCTGGTGTTGACCGCGCAGTTTCAGAGGGCTTACGGCAGTTTGAACATGGGACCAGCCTGGCCTGTACTGGTTATCAGGGAAACCGCACCCTTGAAGCTTGCACAACCCATCCCTCCCCCACCTCCCTTGCCCCCCCCCCCCCCCACCATAAAAACTCATAAGGGCTAATGGACAATCGTAGAGATATATAATTAATTAACCTTAGAGGATAATTCTTCATGGTTTGAGGGTCCATAGAAATAGAAACATAATAATTGCCTAGTTCTAGAGTGTCGAGCTGTGGGTGGGATATTATGCAATGTATTGAACACGGAGCAAGCACTACAGGAGTCTCGTGATTGTCAGGAGCCTTTCTTTCGTCTATCCAGAAATGTTTTGTACTCTTTATAATTTGGGCTCTCGTGTGGGTTCTGGCTTCACTTTTGGATGAGAGTAAGGAGAATTCACCCACCGCCTGTTAACAAGCTGGTAAAAATTATGGTTTTGCTAAAATCGGATACGTAGGGTCGATTTTTGCAGGCATTGCAGCCTGGATGTAAACCCAACCGCAGCGTGCCAACAAACCATTTGAAGGCAAACGATGAAAAAGGTGATGATTATCATGATGATGACGACACCGATGACAGGGATGTTGATGACAAGGATGAAGGTAAAGAAGAAGAAGCAGAGAGTTGGTGGACGAGGAGTGTAAAGCAGCAGTAGCTGAAGCAGAACTCGTATCTTACGTATCTACTACATGTTCTATTTTGGGGAGATTATAATCAATGAACGCTTAGCTTTGAATGAGTTCAACACAAACAGTATACACGACCCACACCCCCCCCCCCCCCCCCGAAAAAAATTTTATACCGTTATATTAACCCCGTATTTCTCATCACAATGTGTTTCTTGGGCTGTAGGTGGCGCTGTACCACAGTTGCCCGATTTATAATTTGTCTGCTTCAAAATGGCTTTCATTCATTGATACAACTGCGATACAATTTCTTCGAAAAAGAAAATATGTTGCGAAACGAAATTTCCAAACAGGACGTAGTTTAGGCGGACTCTCATACCTTCTGCAACATGTCCGGCACTGTTAAGAGTCGGAAAGGCCTCAGCCGAAACGGAGTGTGAGCTAGACCCAAGCTTCATAAATATGGCAACTAGAACATGGCGGATCTGACTTGAAGCGTACGAACTGACCGAACCGGAAACAGTGTCACTCTCTCGAATACTCCAAACAAAAGGAAGAACGTGGCTCCTCCCCGAAGACAGCGTGAGAAGAAGAAAGCAGTTACCAATGAGGACATTATCAAAGAGTGTACAATTCACATGCATAAAAGGGTCTTTCGCATTGGCTTTAAAAAGAGGGCTCCACGTGCCATTAAAGAAATACGCAAGTTTGCAAAAAAAAAAAAATGATGGGCACCTCTGATGTGCGTATTGATATTCGTCTCAACAAATATCTTTGGTCTCAAGGTATAAGACACGTACCACACAGAATTAGAGTTTGCCTAGGTCGTAAACAAAATGAAGATGAAGACTCTGTTCATAGATTGTACACACTGGTTACACATATACCGTGTGCGGACTTTAAAGGAAAACAGACCATCAATGTCGATAATGAATAAACTTTTTTTTTTTCTCAGACGCATTCAAGCGTTTGTTGCAGCTGGAGGTGGATATTTTGAGCACTAGTTTTGATAAGCAAAATGTAGATTTGATTTTTGTAGAAGCTTAAATAGATCACAATGGGAGCATGATATATTATAATGAAGAAATATGTAACAGATGGAAGGAATACTTTGCTGAATTGTTAAATTGGGAAACTCAACTGAATATTTATCCACAGGAAGGGATATTAACATGCGTACCAAATATTGGAAAGCCTGATTTTGAAGTACTATATGTCATAACACGGCTTATAAACAATAAATATTGCAAATTAACAGAAGAGTGTACAATAGGAGAAACTACAAGAATACTTGTTTATGCAGATACTTTGATATCGTTGGAGAAAATGAACTAGAAACTTAAAAAGATTTACTCTCTTTAAAAAATGAGCAGCTCACAAAATGGGACTAGTTATCTGTCAAGATAAGACAGAATACACGATAGTAATAAGACAGAGAAAGGATATAAACTCCGGCCATAAGGACTTAGGTGAAAAATTCAACTGCTCCAACAAACTGAGAGAAGAAATACGTGGGTGCAAACTTTAACTGCTCCAACATACTGAGAGAAGAAATACTTGAGTGCAAACTTCAACTGCTCCAATATACTGAGAGAAGAAATGCAATCTACAATACAGTCAGTGGGGAAAATATACTATCCCCTTCAACATCTGCTCATGTATATATACAGAACGTTGATAAAGCCAGTTATTTTAAATGGCTCCGAAACTTGGAGCACAACAAAAAGAGATGAAGTCTTATTAGAAAATTTCAAAAGCAGAGTCTTACGAGGATTCATTGGACCCATCAAAGATGAAAACAGCGGGAAATGGAGAGTAAGGCACAACAACGAAATTCATAATCTGTTTAAATCACCACTGAGCACTGGCATCATAAGAGCTAATTAACTGAAATGGTTGGGGTATAATGAGAGAATGTCAGATGACAGAGAGTTAAAAACTGTAAACACGAGGGAGCTGAAATGTCGTAGACCACGAGGCCGACCAAGAAGACATCGGAGAGGTAATATCCAGACAGACCTACAAACATTTAGTGTCACCAACTGAAAACAGACTGACTGGCTGACTTTCTACCCCACCAGGACATCACACAAGCGATAAACATCCGATGACACAAAGTGCCACCATGCGGATGAGGATCACCGTGGAGAAGTCCCAGAAACCGAGTTCAGACAATTGGCCATATTGATGGCCTGCCTATATTGCGGCCCCTGCAAAAGCCAGAGTGGGGCTTCAAATAACAAAAAAATTACGTCGTCACAAACAAATTATTATTAAAAAATTACTTTTTTCCCTACCTTATGCTATATTTTGGGTTGCTATGACGCAGTTGTCCTTTTCACCAATACAGGTAACACCCCCCCCCCACCCCCCCCCCACCCCCCCCACCCCCCACAAAAAAAAAAACTAGCAAACAAAAATCAGTGAAAAATTACAGTATGCAAGAAACTTTAAGGAAAGGCGCCATAAAACAGCCCACATGTGCAAGAAATACAAGAAGTAATCTGACT